GCCCTGGCCCCAACGGGAGGCAGCCAATCGATGTGTCTCTTTGAAATCAGTGTTTCTCTTTCTCTCCCTTCCACCCTCTCTGAAAAGCAGTGGAAAAAATATCCCCTGGTGAGGATTAAAAAAAAAACTCTTTGATGAATTTCCATTATCCTTAGTCTGCAGATAAAGACATATTTGTCTCACCCTGTTCTGCCTTGCTCATTATTATATTCCCAAGGCCTAGCATAGTACTTTTTCATAGTAAATGCTCATATATTTAAGGGATGAACAAAGGAAGGAATGTATGAAAGAACCAAACTGATAATTGAGAAATTTAGGCTGTCCTTACATTTCCTTTATGTTAGGCTGCATGTGAATATACATACATGTTAACAGAGAGGTATGAGGAAAATACTATTTCTGAATAAAATAGTGTTTATCTTTGATGACTTCTCTTTCCTATCTTTTCACATCCCCACTTTATCCCCATTTCATCACCCTCCCCTTCCTTCTTGGTACCATTTTTTTTAATCTGAAGTTGCTGAGTTCAAGAGCCTGTTATCTTCTCCCCACATAGTTCATGAAAGCCAACCATTGACATTCGTGTGAATGACTCTTTTTCCCCCCAAAACATATCTATTGATTTCAGAGAGAGAGGAAGGGAGAGGGAGAGAGTTGAAACATCAATGATGAGAGAGTCATTGATCGGTTCCCTCCTGCACACCCCAACTGGGGATGGAACCCGCACCCCGGGCCTGTGCCCTGACTGGGAATTGAACCGCGAACTCCTGGATTCTAGGTCAGTTCTCAACTGCTGAGCCATGCCCGGCTGGGCTGAATGACTCTTTATTATAAGCAGATTATTTGGTATACATGCCAGTAAAGTGAAGCTTTTTTGGGAGTACTGCAAGACAGCTAGTTGTCCTCCCAGTGGAGAATCAAATCCACTGGTTCATAAATTAGGTTCCAACTGATGAGGCACAAAGCTGCAAGGGTCATTCAAACAAGTACTTGAGAATCTCAAGAGTTTCGTTAGTGAATAGTCTTGCCCTGCTCTTCACAGAGAATACCAAAGCCTTAAGAGAGCAGAGGAAGGCTGGATGGTTGTGATACGTGGGCTAGTAAATGGGAGTTGGGGAATATCTTTCATGTGAGTCACGTGGTTTCCAGGGAGAAATGAGGTCTCGCTTTGTAATGTCATACTCGCCTACGAATTGGCCCTGAGAAGCTGGGAGTTAACCACAGCTTCTATAGTATTTGTATTTTACAGAAAAGTAAAGAAAAGGGAAACTAAGAATGAAGACCGTAGCCTTTTTAAAAAATTATTATTTTAATCCTCACTTGAGCATATGTTTATTGATATTTTTTTGGAGAAAGAGAGGAAACATCGATTGGTTGCGTCCCGTACACGCGACCAGGGATTAAACCTGCAACCTTTTGGTGTAGGGGCGATGCTCTAACTAACTGAGCCACCCGGCCAGGGTGAAAACTGTAGCCTTTTAAAGATTGGATTCTTCTTAGTTTTCACTGAGGAGCTATGGTGTAGTAATAATTTACTTGTGTTTGGTGCTCCTGAGCCCTTTCTGGGAGCTGTCTGATTGGATCTTCTCTTCAGTCTGCAAGTGCAGTTAAGCAGGTTTTGTAAGTGATGCAGCAAAGCTGGAAGAAGCCCAGTAGCCAATTTGGGATTTGAAACCAGGACTCTGCTGCTTGTTTCATCACCCTATTGCATCTAATCCCAGTTACTAAATTTGTATTGATTTTAAAAACTTCTTAAGTTGATGGCAGAAGGGCTTTGAGATCCACAGATGCCTATAAAGGAATGTGGAGACTGAAGAGAAAGATACTGTTTTTTGTCAGAGAAGCTAAGAACTTAAAAGTTCAGTATCATTTTATTAAAAGTCATAAATACGTAGGAATAGTATTTTTACTGGTTTCAGCTGTTTACACTGTTTTGGCTGTTTGCAGACACGCACACCTACACACCTTTACCCATCTTCCTAGTGTTTCACTGTTGTCAATGCAGTCAAGTAGCTACAAAAAAAGCCAGCAGTCCTATAGCACAAAGGACCTTGTTTCTTGGGAAGAACAAAGGTTACAATAAAAGTGTCTGCTTTCTGGGATTTTTTTGCTTGTTTGGACAATTTGTGTGTTTTTTACACTTAACCAATATTAGGCAAAGTTAAATTAGGTTATTATCACCCTGGTTGTTTTATAAAAACCAAAGGAAAAAAATATTTGGAAGTAATTTCTTAAACTGTTTTGATTCACTTTTCAGTAATTATTTGAACAATGTTGTTGTTTTCTGGCCATTTAGATTTATACTCATAGGACCCCAGAGTTAAACTGCATACTCATGGGGCTCCAGAATATCACTGTGTTTGTCACACTTCCCAGTACAGCATTAATCTCCATCCCAGTCTCCTGCTCATCATCTGAAAGCTTTAAGCCACCGGAACCATGTGCACAAGAAGAGATCTCTTCTGATTTATCTTCTTTGTGTATGGTAGCTAAACTCCAGATTAAATACAACATTGGAAAAACATACAGTTGTCATAAACAGTTCCCTTAGAGCTCTCAAATAGGTGCAGTTGTAAACAGTTTACATTCATTTAACTCATTGAATCCTCACCACAAACCTATGAGGTAAATACAGTTATCCCTATTTTTATTTTTTATTTTTAATTTGTTTTTATTGATTTCAGAGAGAGAGGAAGGGAGAAGGAGAGAGATAGAAACATCGATAAGAGAAACATCAACCAGCTGCCTCCTGCATGTCCCCTACTGGGGATCGAGCCTACAACAGGGCATATGCCCTGACTGGGAATCAAACTGGCAATCTCAAGTGCATGGGCCAATGCCCAACCAATTCAGTCACCCTGGCCTGGCCAGTTATCCCTATTTTATAGTCTGGTTGAATGTCAGCTCCTCCAACTCTGTGTTCTTTAGCAAGTTACTTAACTTTTCTTTGCTTCAGTTTCCTCATCTGTAAAATGGGGGTAATGGTAACTTTCTCACCATTTGTGTGGTGAGGATTAAATGAAATCCACATAAAGCACATAGGGAATGCTTGCAGGTGTTCGCTGTTGTTACCTAATTAGTATGATTAATGGCAAAAGAAATCACTGTCACAAGAATCAGAAGTTTGGTTTCTGATCCTTGCTCTGCTATTAATATCCATGTGATTTGGGTGAATTTTCCTCTTTCTGAGCCACAGTTTTCTTATACCAATTTTATTTTAACCTTTTATTTGGAAGTAACTTCAAATTTACATGAGGCCAAAAAAAAGGTACAGATGTGACACTGAAAGTATAGACAAGAGACAAAATAAATTGGACTTCATCAAAATTAAAAGTTTTGTGCATCAAACAGCACCATCAAGATGAAAAGACAACCAATACAGAGAAAATATTTGTAGATTGTATATCTGATAAGGATTAATAACCAGAATAGATAAAGAACTACAACTCAACAACCAAAAAAAGAAAAATCCAATTAAAAAATAGGCAAAGAACCTGAATAGCTATCTCTCCAAGGTAGAGAGGTAAATGACCAATAAGCACATGAAAAAATGCTAGTCATTAGGGAAATGCAAATCAAAACCACAAGGAGATAACCACTTTATACCTGTTAGGATGGCTGCTATAAAAATGAATAAATGCTGGCAGGAATGTGGAAAAATTGGAACCCTTGTGGATTGCTGATGGGAATATAAAGTAGTGTAGCCACTGTGCAAAAAAGTATGGTGGTTCCTCAAAAAATTAAACAGAATTACCTATGATGGAGCAGTTCCACTTCTGGGTATATACCCAAAATAATCAAACGGAAGAACTCCAAAAGAACCCTAGCCAGTTTGGCTCAGTGGTTAGAGCGTCAGCCCACAGATTGAAGGGTCCTGGGTTTGACTCCGGCCAAGGGCACATACCTCAGTTGCAGGCTCAATCCCTGGCCCCAGTTAGGGTGCGTGCAGGAGAAGTGTCTATTGACAAGGGAATGGGTAAACAAAATGTGACCTATACATACACAGAAGTATTATTTAACCTTAAAAAGGAAGGAAATTCTGGCATATGCTGCAACGGGGATGAACCTTAAACGTGCTAAGTGAAGTAAGCCAAATGTAAAAGGTCAGATATTTTATAATTCCACGTATATATGGTACCTAGAGTAGTCAACTCAGAAACAGACAATAGAGTGGTGGTTATAAGGAGCTGGGGGGAGATGGAAGTTGGTGTTTAATGACTACAGTGTTTCAGTTTGGGGGCGGGGTTGGTTGCACAAGACAAGAAGTGAATGTACCTGGTGCCACTCAGTGTACACTTAAACATGGTTAAACAGGTAAATTTTATGTATATTTTACCACAGCTTTTTAAAATACATGTTTCAACAACAAAAATAATACAAAGAACATTTGTATCCTGCCCTAGCCAGTTTGGTTCAGTGGTTAGAGCATTGGACTGAAGGGTCTCAGGTTTGATTCCAGTCAAGAGCATGGGGAGAGTGGAAGGGAGGAGCAGGGGAGAGAGAGACATCCACGTGAGAGAAACACATTGTTTGGTTGTTTCTTGCACTCGCCCTTGACCCAGAATCAAACCCAAGACCCTTCAGTCTGGCGCGCCGACATTCTGACCACTGAGCAAACCAGCCAGGGCAAGCCTTTTAGCACCCCTACTTGAGCTGTAGAAAGCTGCTGAAAAGAAAGTACTATTCTTGCCAATACTTTCTGTAGAATATAAATAGTAGTAATGCTGATGGGTGTATCCTCAATGCCATGTTTTTTTTTCAGGCTATCCAAACTTTAGCTGAGGAGATAACAAGCTACTTTGCAGAATAGGATTAGGGCTGATACAGGTTTGGTTTGGTTTTATGTTAAGGGAAACACTGTGGCACAGTTAGGATATATTCATTGATTTAACAGATAAGGGAGCCAGAAATATATTTAAGGCCATTGTTGTAAGGTGATTTTTCTTTCCATATGCTTTCTAAAAATAATTCCTTGGTCCTTGTGCGTTTTGTTTCTGCAGTCTGAAGAAAACAGGTCTGAAACAAAGTCTTCACTCCACCCCCCAGCTGCTTCTGAACACGGTGACTGCCAGATCTCCAAACATCAAGTTCAGCTTTGTTCGCCAACCTGTCTGACATGTCGGGACCCGTGCCAAGCAGGGCCAGAGTTTACACAGATGTTAACACACACAGACCCCGAGAATACTGGGATTACGAGTCACATGTGGTGGAATGGGGGTAATTGTTTCCTTTTACTTCACTATAGTCACCCAAAGGGCTGCCTCTTATGGATTTGTTCAGTAATTTATGTCAGGCACCCTCTCTGGCTGTGCATTATAAACCTCAAGATTGAAGTCTTATTTGTGTTTCTTCTGCAGTGAAGAAGTAAGCTATTGCTGAACAGTTTTGACAGGCTTATCACTTAAGAATCATTTCAGTCTTTTTCTTAATCTTTTCTCTGATTTTTATATTCTGTATACAAAGCTGATAAGGAAGAGTTACCTATCAACTTGCCTCAGCTAAGGGTTTCAGTTAGAAAACTTAAGAGACTTTGAAAACACTAAACTCTTACATAAAATGTTTTTGAGGTCAGAGAATGTTGTCCCATGGTGATTCTGAAGGATGAAACAGTTCTCCAGAAAGGTGTCCTCTTTCTAATGAGAAGCAAAATTAAACCCTTAAACACTTGCCCTTATCATGAGACTAGACATGTGTAACATGGAATTCAGCCCAAATTCCATCTTGAACAGTTGCACTCTGCCTGAACAGCTGCGTTTGCCCTCCTAATTCTCTGTGCTATCTCATTTGGATGTTTGCATTTCTTGTCCCAACATGGTATGTATTTAATTGATCATGTCATACTTTTTGTGATGAAAAGCTTTTTGGCATTCAAATGCAAAAGAAAACCATTTGAAAACTCAAAGCTTCAGCTTCCATATGCTATGCTATGTTTTATGTCTGTCCACATGTGATGTCCATAACCTGTAAGTGGTTAAATACAGGCTCCCAAAATTGTGGGTGTTATTTTAATCATGATTGGGCTATGAATCTTAACAGTTAAGCACATTGCCTCTGCACAAGAAGGCACAGTGTTCTTTAAAGATACCATCAAGAATCTGTGGTACAGTACCAGTATATGTTATCATTATTGATAATCTAGCAATTCCCCTTATATCCCAGGCTTTCTCTAGGAATACCTCTGTGTTTTACAGAAATTTCAACTACTCTATTCAAATTGAGTTCTCTGCACTTAATTCTGCTAAAATAGCACTATTGAGTTTTGGGCATGGTGCTATTTGGTTGCTTGCTTTTATTTCCCTGTGCCTTCCCACAGGAGGAGGACTCGACCAGAAATAAGAGCTCCCTTCCCCTAGACATGCTATGATTATTACATTGTTCATTGTCCTTAGTGCTTTTGTCTTTTCTCTTTATTCACACTCTTTTTAGCTGCTTGAGGAAAATGAATGGTTGGTTTGTCACATGTTGCATTCTCAGTGTATCCAGCAGGAGTAAATAGAACTGAGACGTTATTTAAAAGGACCATGTTTGTCATTCTTTAAAGTCCTCTAAGTTATAAGCAGGAGCAAAGGGGAAATCTTGGCATTTTTGATACTTTTTTTTTTTAACCTTTGATGTTGCTTAGTGGTCGTGAAATAAATATGGGTGAAATAGAGGAAGGGACTCCCTAACTGGTTCATGATCTGTAATGTAGTTTGAAAAACTCCATTATATGGACTGTCCTCAGGGCTTGCCTTGGAGGACAAGTGGTAGGTCAAGCCTGTATATTTGAAAGCCACTTAACTGCAAAGGAGCCCGTTCAAAATCGGCTGCTCCCAAAATGTGGCTGAATTGAAGTATTCTTATAACACGTATTTACTTCCTGCAAAGTGCCAACAATCGGCCAGGCACTAGGAGACAGGAATATATAAAAATTATTCTCCAAGGGAAAGCTCTCTGTTGGAGGCAGGCGTGCATAATGAACCCTAATATAAGCTGTGTGTGGTATGCCAATAGAGATGTAAACAGTTTGGGATTTGAAAGAAAAAAGGCTTAATTTTTTCTAATTCTGGGATTTGGAACATACCCATTTTTAATTGGCCCAATTAAAATAATACAAAGGAACTGATTTGGGAAATATTTTAAATACTTCATTTCTTTTACTGGTAATAGGGTTTTATAAGTTCAATTAATGCTTGAAAAGTTGAACTTTTTAAATCATTGTGACTTTGACTCTTTGTTTACAGAAATCAAGATGACTACCAGCTGGTTCGAAAATTAGGCCGGGGTAAATATAGTGAAGTATTTGAAGCCATCAACATCACAAATAATGAAAAAGTTGTTGTTAAAATTCTCAAGGTGAGTAAAAGAAAGAGATTGAAATTTCAGAGGTATTTGGAATTTAGATTTTAGTAATAGTGATTCCTTTTCTAAAGTAGCATTTAAAAGGGTTTTGGGAGTGCTTTAACACCTTTATTGTGTCATCTGCAATCATTAGAGGTTATCTTCATTTGACAGATCAGGAAACTAAAGCAGAAGTGATTTGACTCAAGTCATATGGCTAGATTGTGGCAGAGGAAGGGAGTAAAGGTTCAGTCCTCTCTCTAATACTGATTTGATTGCCTAATACTTATTTCCTCTGTTTTTAATTATATTTCAAGCATTTGTTTTCAATAAATAGTTACCTCTACTGTGTAAGGATGAGGAGTCACAAACAGCAGGCCTTTAGAGGTCAGGCAGATCACTTGCTAGCCAGTCTGATGTAAGTGCCCATGATAAGAGGAGGTGAGTGATGAGTACTGCAGTAGCGCAAGACCAGCATTGTTTGATACTCCTTTGCAGAAAGAAATTAGAGATTTGTATGTGTATTCTCCCGATTTTTAAATGATGGCTCAGAGTCGTTAAAAAACACTGTACAAATTCTGACTCAAGAGATGTATGTGGATCCTGGGAATCTGTGTATTAAAAAGTCCAGGTTATTGATCATCAGAGTTTAATAACCACTGATCTTGTTAATAAAGAGATATATACTTAAAATAATTTCTGATATATACTTAAAATTGTAGTCTGAGGTGACTGACACCCTGGGAAAGAGCTGCATGTTCCACTATGGCAGGCACAGGTCACATGTGGCTATTGAGCATTTGAAGTGTGGCTAGTCCAAATTGAAATATGCTGTAAGGATAAAATACACAAGGTTTCAAAGGTTTGTATATGTATATAAAATTGCCCAGTAGTAATTTTTTTGTATTGCTTTACATGTTAAAATAAGATTTTGAATATATTTTGTTAAAGAAAATATATTACTAAAATTAATTTTGTCTGTTTATCTTTTTTAACAAGGCTACTAGAACATTTAAAATATATATGTGGCTTGCATTATATGTCTTTTGGACCAGCACTGCTTTAGACTATTTAGGAGGAAGGCTTTGTGGAGGAGGTGCAGTTGGACCAAAGCCCTCCTCAGAAAAATGAAAAAGATTTCTGTCCCAGAACACATGTAGAAATAACGAGTGAGGACAAAGGAATATGGAAGATAAGCTCAAGGGACTCTCCAGAGTGGTCTTTTTAGAATGGAGAGAGGGATTCATTTATTGGAATACTGATCATAAGCCTAGCTAGTTACCATGTCCCAGTCATATTCTGAGATCCTTTCATATATTTTATTTGATTCTTGCCACAATCTTATGAGATAGGTACTCTTGTTGATCATTTTTCCCATAATGAAAGGCTTAGGTTATGTGATAACTTCCCCATAGGCACACAGCTAGCATGGCATGAAAGTAGGATTCGCATTAGGCAGTCTTGACTCCAAGGCCCACATTTAACCTACAAGTTTATGCTGCACAAAGATGGTTTGGCCATCCTTGATGTTGGTCCTGTCCCCCTCACCTCTGTTGGGTGTTTATAGACTTAGAGAAAGGAATAGAAAAAAGCCCATGTTTCATCCTAATTTGTAAAAGATTTTTCAAGATATGCCTTAGTCTTACTATTTATAATCCTAGTTTGTATAGTTGTAAAGAGTTAACATTTTAAGACTGATGGTTGGGGGAATTAAATGTTACTTCTGCAGAAGTCTGATCTTTGGAAAGGAAATCTTTTTTTCTTTCAATTCAGCATTTGCTAAGTAACCCACAGAGTACCTGGCACAGGGCTAGGAGAAGGAGATGCAGAGATGAATCGGACACGTTTCCTTCCTTCAAGGAGCTCATAAATAAGCCGTTCATTTATTACATTATCTGTTGAAATACCCGGACATACTTTATTTCACTGATGTACTTTTGCCCTTTCAGCCAGTAAAGAAGAAGAAAATCAAGCGTGAAATAAAGATTTTGGAGAATTTGCGAGGCGGTCCCAACATCATCACACTGGCAGACATTGTAAAAGACCCTGTGGTGAGTATAGTATGTGCTAGCAAGGCCCACCATGGCTGAGGTGGTGTTTGACCCAGAGCACAGCTGGCCTCTCTGTTCCCCCCTCCACCGTTAAGTCCTGCTTTAAAAGTGCTTAATCAGTTATAGCATTTAACTAGTTTGGGTCTTTCTTTCAAAGAGACCTCCACCCACAGACTATTTCTTATTCTTCTAGGATAAGAGACTGATAGCACTGGAAACTGAAATGTGTTAATCCATTTTGCAAACTCAGGTCCGATTCCGATGGGCGATGGGCGCATTGTCGGGCTGCCTAGAGCCTGGTGAGACTTCAGCTCCATGTCTTCTGTTTGAAATCCATCCCAAAAGTGACCTAAGTGTGGTGATGATCAGAGCGGGGAGGGCTTGTAGCAGTAGAGGGTTTCCTACTACTGAGGCTAGGACTGCCAAATTCACCAACTAGCATTTGCAAACTTTGTGCTCGTTAAAGCTGCCAGGGCTATTGCTAATGTGTGTTTTCTTTTTCTTCTCCATAGTCACGAACTCCCGCCTTGGTTTTTGAACACGTAAACAACACAGACTTCAAGGTATAATATATAACCAAAGATTTCAAGCTGTTGGGTTTTTAAACCACATAGAAAGCCTTTTAGGGATGTTACTGTTAGAAGAACTTCCTTCAAACTTTCTTAAAAGAGCTTTTCATCTTCACATTGTTAAATTATAAGATAGAAATACTGCTGTACAAACTACCACTTTCCACATCTTGGTATTTGGCACTTTTGTTGTGTGCTTTCTTTAATGACCAGATACGTTTACTTCTCACCACCTTTACCATTCACTTAACAGTTTCCCCTCATGTCAAACCTAATAAAAGCAATAACGTGTTCAGTCAAGATCTGGCCGAGGGCATTTTACTTTAAAATGGCAGTGTTCAAGAAGGAATGTCTTGTGTATGTAAAAGCAAGGTCTGTTTATACCTTAGGATTCCTTTGGGTAAGGGTGGTGTAAATTGTGCTACAACACACACCTATACAACAGATCTCTCTGACTTCCAGCCCATCCAGCGGCCTACTTCAAACAGTTCTCAATTCTAGTACAATAGAAAAATGTGGGCGCGCTCTTGGATTTCAAGTTGTAAAGGTTTTTGACTTGTCTTTGAGCCAGTCCAGTATCAAGAATTTTAGGTATCGATAAATGGATGAGTTCTTCTGAGATAAGGAAACAAGGAAGAATGTTCTGGAATCAGAACAATAACTTCAAAGAAAACTCCAGATTATGTCCCATTTAATGATGTGTGCTTTTTTTTTTTCTCCTTAAAGACCATAACTCTCTGGAAAGGAAACATAACAGTTGTTCAAAATTTGTTTAAAATTGGGACAGGAATAATTCTGTTAAATTGGCTTGACAGATTTGGCAGCAAGCCATCTGCATACCCACTGGTGATCTGCAGATGGGGTAGTTCCCTACTAAGGAGGCTGTGTATTTGCCAAAATGCCTTTTATGAGAAGGTCTGGAGGTAAATGAAAAGCAAACTTGATTGCAAATGTACATCAATGCATGTTGCTTAGATAAATTGGTATATTCCCAACAGTGAGCTATAGCTTCAGGAATATGAGTTAAGTAATTCTTGACTTGCATATAGAATTAAAGACTCAGTTTCTCTTTAAAGTGAATGTTATGTTGGAGAAGTAGAGACTGTGTAGAGATCTTGGAATGATGGCAGATGAGCCAAGTGTTGGTTTGAATTACTACAAATGAGAATGAGAAAAATTGCCTTCCATCAGCAGTACTTCATGGCTAAAATGTTGCATTTGTCTTTAACAGCAATTATACCAGACGTTAACAGACTATGACATTCGGTTTTACATGTATGAGATTCTGAAGGTAAGGGAACCTTGGATACTAAATACCTTTAGATTTATCTTCCCTTTGTTAAATAGCTCAAATGACTGTAGAAAACCTTGTGAATTAACTTTGTAAAACTCTGAAAGAAGGGACCTCTTCATGTAAGTTTTTAATAAGTTAATAGCATCAGAACTCTTCTGCTAATGTAAGGGTTATGGAAATAGGGTCTAGTGAAATATAATTTAGAATGCTTTGGGAAGGGTATTTAGAAGAGAGCTGGGGCCCCTTAAATATTTGTAATCTCCGTCTTGCTCCTACGAAAGTTAACAGTTGAATTGTTCAAACTTGTAAAAATATCTCCAGATGTGTTGGCTTCTGGTGTACTTTATTTCACTTAAAATTGAACAAGTAAAACAGTAAACTTCCAACTCAGATATCAAAGGGTCATTGTATTAAAGAATTATGTAAATCTCTGCTTAGAGATTGCTGATTTAGAGTAGACTTTGATTTCTAAAATGGGATCACCAAATTATCTTGCTCCTAGTAGTCACAAGATCAGCTTTGTAGATGAGAAAATTGCTAAAAGTTGCTTATTAAATGAGGGTTGACAGAAGTACCCTGAAGAGACTCTGCCAGTAGAGATATTTGATCTTTCCATTGGCTCATGCAGTCTTGTGGCAAGCAGGACTTCGTAAAGTTAAGGATATGCTTGCCTAGTCCTGGGAACCACAGGAACTCAAGTTGCCCTTCAGGAAGGACAAGAATTTGGCCAATGACATCAGCTGACTTAAAAACTGGGATTAGCAAACCCCAAAGGTTGTACCATTCAGTTCACCTTAGTTTGAGATTAGACATGGTTTTCAAATTGGATTTGATGTCCTAGGTCAGGAATTGGCAGGCTTCTTTACAGGGATAAACAGTAAAAGTTTTGGCTTCGTGGTCTATAGGGTCTTTCTCACACCTCTCAGCTCTGCTGTTGTAGTACGAAAGCAGCCACAGACAACATGCAAACAAATAGATGTAGCTGTGTTCCGATAAAACAAACATTTACAAAAACAGGCAGCAGTCCATATATGGACCATGGTTTACCAACCTCTATTGTAAACCCTTAGCTGCTAAAGAATTATTGTTCTTTGAAGAACAGTTTTGTAGTACAGACCAGTTTTCTTTTGAGGGGCCTATGTTTGTGAAAGGCTTTGGGTAAGAGAGAGAAATTGGAAATGATGTAATTGGTGTACACTTTGGGTCTTTTTTAACAGAAAAGATGTTGTAACAACTGTGTAAGAACAGAACTTGAAGTTCAGAGGCCATGAGTTTGACTTCGGGATCTTGAGCAAGTCTCTGAAGAATAACTGTGGGAGTGATTGTCAACCCTGACTCCCAGAGGTGGTGTGAGGCTAGAAAGAAAACCTATGGAGGGAAAAAAGTAGAGGATTTTAACTAGAAAATCACTCTTATGCAAGCTAACTTTTTAACCTGTTCTTCTTACAGGCCCTGGATTATTGTCATAGCATGGGAATTATGCACAGAGATGTGAAGCCCCATAATGTCATGATTGATCATGAGCACAGAAAGGTAAGACTAACAAATCTTTACCAGCCTGATAGGGTGAACAGCCCATCTTTATCCCTAGCATCTGTTACAGTCCCTGGTACCTATTAGGCACTTGACAAATATTTGATGAGTAAATGAACAAATCAGAATTTTTAAACCATTATACATTCATATTCCTAAGAATACTATCAAGGACACCCTGGCAGTGTGTCTCAGTGGATAGAGCGTTGGCCACTACACCTAAGGCTCACAAGTTCCATCCTCAGCCCTGGTCAGGAGCCTGTGGGAGGCAACCAATAACTGTGTCTCCCTCACATCAATGTTTCTATCTCTCTCAAAAAAAAAAAAAAAAAAAAAGGGGAAAAAAATACCCTCAGGTGAGGATTAACAACAACAAAGAACACTATCAAGAAGGAAATAAATTAGTGGTCAAAACCATTTTGGGCAGGGAACCTGGATTCTGGTTTTATTTACTGGATAACTAGTATCTGGGAACTTCTTTTCTCGTTTGCCTTCTCTTTCTTACCTGTACAACAGGTATAATAATATTTGCTCTCTGTGCCACTTGGTTATTGTGAGAATTAAGTGTGTACAGTTGTGAAATGTATGAAATATTCAGAAAATGCTGCTGCTTATTATTAGCGAGCACAAGTGCTATAGAGAGTTCTGCTGACCACGTGCTTATAGCATTTCAGTTTTGTAAGGTAACCAAGTCCACCTTTGTAGGTAGTGATGGCTTTGTTGTAGGCTTTGGAGATGTAGGTGATTTGTTCATTCAACTGAAATTTTTTTAGGCACAATGCATGGTATTGTTCTATCTGTGTGGAACTGATAATAAAAAATTCTCATCCATAAGGAGCTTGCCTTTGGGGGAGGCTAGGGCTAGAAAGTTAAAAGTAATGTGGAAGAAAAATAAGTCAGGAATAGAGAACAAAGGAGGATGTTGCAGTTTTTTGTTTTTTAAATATATCTTTTTTTTTTTTTCTTTTTTTTTTAAATATATCTTTATTGATTTCAGAGAGAGGAAGGGAGAGAGATAGAAACATCAATGATGAGAGCATTGTCATTGATTGTCTGCCTCTTGCATGCCCCCAACTGGAGATCAAGCCCACAGCCCGGGCATGTGTCCTGACTGGGAATCGAACCTCGATCTCCTGGTCAATGTTCAACTGTTGAGCCACACCCGGCTGGGCAGGTCTTGCAGTTTTAAACAAGGGGGTGAAAGGAAGATTCCATTGGGAAGGTGACATTTTTAGAGAACACTTGAAGGTCATCAGCTATGCAACCTTGGGAAGAACTATGTCCCGAGTAGAGGATGCAAAAGCCCTGAGGCAAGAATGTGTCTGGCTTGTTGGAACGGGGAGGGTGGGGGTGGGGACTGGGATCAGAGAGGTAAAGAGAACCAGGTCATTTAAAACCTTAAATATCATTGTCAAAACTTTTCTCTGAAGATGCAGAGCTTTTGCAGGGTTTGAGGAAAGGGTTGGCATGCTCTCACTTTCATTTTTAAAAGTTTACTACACATCTATTAGAACAATTAAAAAATAATGACAATACCAAATGCTGGCAGGGATGCAGAGAAACTCAATCTCTCATGCATTGCTGGTGGGAATGCAAAGTAGCACAGCCATTTCAGAAAATGCCAAACTGTTGTTTTATTATTTGTTGGTTTCTTTAAAAGCTAAACAAACAGCCCTGACCAGTGTGGCTTAGTTGGTTGAGCCACTGGAGGGTCGCCAGTTAGATTCCTGGTCAGGGTATATGCCCTGGTTGTGGACCCAGTCCCCCATGTTTCTCTCTCTCCTTTCCACTCTAAAATCAATAAAGAACATTAAACAACAACAACAAAAGCTAAACAAACATGCTTACCAAACAATCCAGCAGTGGTATTTATCCCAGAGAAACAAAAACTTAGGTCCACACACAAACCTATATATATATGAATGCAGCTTTATTCATAATAGTTGAAAATTAGGGGGAAATGTCCTTCAGTGAGTGAATGGTTAATCAAACTGGTATATCTATACCATGTAGTGTTATCACTGAATAGTATGACTCAGCAATGAAAAGGAATGAACTATTAGTAATGCAACAACTTGGTTGGATCTCGTGCTGAGTGGAAAAAATCTGAAAAGCTGATTATTCCGTTTGTAATAATATTGTCAAAATGTTAGAGTTAGAGAACAGGAGTTAGAAAGTGAAGAAGAGATAGCACAAGGGACATTTGTGGTGATGGAATAGTTTTGTATCTTATGGTCAGAGTTATCTGAATCTACACATGATAAAATTACATAGAACTACACACACACGAACACCAGCATGTGAAACTGGTGAATAGTAAGGTCTGTCTGTGGGTTGTGTCAATGTCAATTTCCTGGCTTTGATATTATACTGTAGTTATGTAAGATGTTACCATTAGAGGAAATGCAAAGTTGGGTGAAGGGTACACAGAATATCTGCAAGTTCCTGTGAATTTATACTAGTTTTTAAATATAAAGCCTTTGAAAAGGATCATTCTGGTTGCTGTGTAGAGAATAGAGGGAAAGAGTGAAAGCAGCCTGACTAGTCAGGAGAAGGGGCTGCTGTAGTAAATCAGACGAGACGGTGGTAGCATGGGCCAGTGCAGTAGCAGTGGAAGTGGTGGTAGTGGTCAGAATGTGAGCCAACAAGGTTTGCTGGCAGGTTTGATGTGTAGTATACAGGAAGCAAGAATCCAGAGTGAAATTTTTTTGGCCTAAATGACAGGATGAATGGATTTACCTTTAACTGAGAAGAAGGGGGAGGCTGTAGGAGAAAGGTAATAATCAGAGGTTTATCTCTGAGATGTTTGGTGATCAGAGCGGGAGAGGTGGCTGGTAGAAGATGCTGATAATGCTGTGTGTGAAGCCATAAGATCAGAAATACTCATCTGGGAAATACTTGTTGCTTAAAAACGAAGCTCAGGGATAGCTCTGGAGCACTTTTATTAAGGGGCTGAACAGAAAGGCTATAAAAAAAAATTATACTTTCTTTCATACCCTTCATTGTAGTTCCCTTTGTTCACCAGAACAGTGAAGACACTGTACCTAGTTAACAGTGAACTTATGGGGACATTGACAGAGTAATCAGGCATTAGTCAGGCCCTACTACCCACACTTCAAATAATGCTTATGCTTTGCACAGTGGGTAAATAAGGTTCCCTCTTGTCCTTGCTAGTACTTTTTCCACGTTCAGGATACATTTTGGTAAGAGCCATTTTGTGTGGCTTTTCACTTCATTCACTCAGTACATATTTTTTATTTTTCTCATGTGTACTGGGTGTTGTGTTGAATTTTAAAAATTACAGAGTTGAATAAAACAGTCCCTACCTTCAAGGAGTTTACAGCCCATTTTGAAAAAGAAAGATAAGAAACAAATACATAATAAAGAATTGTGAGTTTGCCCTTTACAGGTAGCTCAGTTGGTTAGAGCATCCAATCAGAGCACATACAAGAAGCAATCAATAAATGCCATAAATAAGTGGAACAACAAATCTCTCCCCCCATTTCCCTCTCTCTCCCTCCCTCTTCCCCCCTTCCTCTCTCAAAATCAATCAATAAAATTTTTTTAAAAAGAGTTCTGGGTTCTATTAAAGAAGTATATCTGAGGTTCAAGGAGAGGCTAAAGGCAGTGGTTGGTTTTACTTGATAATTAGAAGAGATTTCTGTGACGGGTGTGCACTTAAATATGTCAAAAGATGAGATGTTCACCATTAGTAGTCTAGGTTGAATAGTATAGACATTCTACTCAAGTGAGCAGTTTAAGAAATTTGCAGAAGCACAAAATGAAATTGTCTTTCAGCAAGTCTCCCTGGCTCAAGAATTAAGTCATGGAGAACCCTGTATGTCAAGCTAAACAGGATTGTCCAAGAAGTTTGATTTTCATCTTAAATACAGGCATGGGCAAAGTTAGGTTTATAATTGTGGGTATGTGAAATACAGAATTTATTCTTATATTAGTATTTATTCTTGTATTATATATTTTTCCATACAAAAACTGTAAACCTACTTCTGTCCACCCTATATAATAGGTAGTCACTGAAGGGGGGTTTGTTTGTTTTTAATCGTTTTTATTGATTTCAGAGAGAGGAAGGGAGAGAGACAAAAACATCAATGATGAGAGAGAATCATTTATTGGCTGCCTCCTGCACACTACCTACTGGGGATCTAGACCACAACCCGGGCATGTCTCCTGACTGGAATCGAAACTGACCACCTAGTTCATGGGTCCATGCTCAACCACTGAGCCACACTGGGTGGGCTGAAGGGGCTTAATTTAAAGTCACATGGCTGGTATTTTTTAAAAGTACTCTAAAGGCAGTGTGTGGAGTAGCTTGAAAAATAAAATTGCTCATGATTTATTCTCTTTTTTTTTTTCTTTCAGCTACGGCTAATAGACTGGGGTTTAGCTGAGTTTTACCATCCTGGCCAAGAATATAATGTCCGAGTTGCTTCTCGATACTTCAAAGGTCCTGAGCTACTTGTAGACTATCAGGTGAGAAGAGAAAGGCAAACAAAATTTCTGTCCTAGCCCTGGCTGGTGTTGTTCAGTGGTCACAGTGTCAGCCTGCAGACTGAAGGGCGAGGGGTTGATTCCCGTTAAGGGCACGTACCTGGGTTGCAGGTTCAATCCCTGGACATACAGAGGGCAACTAATCAAGCCCTCCCCCATCCACTCTGAAAATCAATGGAAAAAATATCCTCAAGTGGGGATTAACAGACACACAAAAATTTCTCTCCTATGCTTATTTTATACATAATTTGTGAAAAATGTCATTTTGTGTTTTTGAATAGGTCATTTGTACACATCTATGACTGTCCCTTTTATGCGAATGTAAGAGATGAATCATCTCAGTTTATCTACCATAACTTATGTTTTTATTGTCATAATGTCAGTAGAATATGAATAGAACTGTATTTGATCCTAACTAAAGAGAAAGTACACCAAAGGTAACTTTTTCTTATAAACTCCAGAGCTGAGATTTAACCAAACTAAGGACTAAATAAAAAAATGCTCTGTTGTGGTTTTCATAAACTGTATTCTATATAAAGATTTTTCCCCTACTAAAAAAGCCCTCTTCTCACAGAAACAAAATCCTTGGGAGTATCTTTCGTCTCCAGTCCTCCCAGGTCTCATCAGATACCTTAAAAAGTTCAGAATCTATCCTAGAAATTCTTTTTCTGGGATTTTCAGAATGTAACCCTGAGCTTGAACATTTTATGCATAAAAATATTCTTTTTTTAAATTTATTGATTGGGGGGGAGAGAAACATTGATTTTTCTTGTTCTACTTATTTATACATCACTGATTCTTATATGTGCCCTAATCGGGGTTCGAACCTGCAACCTTGCTGTAGCAGGACAACTCTGTAACCAATGGAGCTACCCGCCCAGGGCCAAAAATATTCTTTATGATATTATTTATAATTATTCATATTATTAAGTAAAACACTATCCTGTTATGGCGATATTAAAGATTAAATTCTGAAGCATTTCTGCAGTAAAATAATGCTACACGTTAAAAGGTTTTTGTAGACTCACAGTTTGAGATGTTCTTATTCTTATGAGAAAAGTGACTCAGGATAGCATGTACAGATTGTTTTAAATGGGGGATTGCATAGAGGAGACTGGAAAGAAGCACATGAAGATGTTATTGGTGTTTGGACATTTTTAGTGGAGTGATTTTTTTTTAATAGCAATTTTTTATTTGGAAAATACAAGATAATGTCATTTCATTTATAACTGAGTTGTGTGTTTGTTTGTTTAATTTTAATGCAGATGTACGATTATAGTTTGGATATGTGGAGCTTGGGCTGTATGCTGGCAAGTATGATTTTCCGGAAAGAGCCATTTTTTCACGGACATGACAATTATGATCAGGTGATACATGTTGTTTCCATTAGGGAACTTACTAGTCTAACCTAGTGATGTTCGGACCTGGCTACTTAGTAGAAACTGCAGTGGGTTTTGCTAAAATATAGATGCCCAGAGACCTATTAATTCAGAATCTCTTGGCGTGAGACCCTAGAATAAATTTCAGTTCATGGCTTATTCAGCTAACCCAACATTGATCCTCATATTGGTGTTTTGGGAGCTACCAGGTTAGCCTTTTGAAATCACTGAGTTTTTTCCCTTAGTCTTTTTATTTGTGTTGCTTGTTTTATTGTAAATTATACGTGTAAAGTAGAACATTACCTTAGAATCTTCTAATGCGAGTTTTCGCTAAAGTTGGGAATGTTTTCTTCAACATAGTGGTTTATATATGGTATTTCTATGATCCTTTTGTCTCTTTATATGGATTGAGTTGACATATGTTAGTAGAAATATAGAGGATGTTTTTTATACTAGCTCCAAGTCAACTCTTCATCAGGCATATATAGTTCATAGTCTATCGAGTAGGGGAAATCAGACATATAAGGAAATAAGTTACAGTTATAAATGTCAGAGTAGAAACGTAGACAAGGTACAAAAGGCAGTTGTGGGAGTAAGTGGTGTGAGTGTACAAGGGGAGCTTCCCAAAAGAAGTCACACGTTTTGCTGGGTTGTGGACGGGGGCGAGGGGGACATAAGACTTCATCAGGGAGACATTTTAAGGGGAAGGAACCAGGTTATAATTGTTTGTATTTTCTGACACCATCACATTAAGTACTGATTTAGAGAATTTTGTGTGGAAACCTATTTCTACCGTGCACAGAAATATGAAGTAAATTGTCAGTATTCATACCTGTAGCCATGATGATCCCTTTCTGTTAATCTAGTCATGGTTAATTGACTCAATTGTGTAACGTTGCTTGTTATGTGGGTTTTTTTCTTTCTTCAATCCTAGTTGGTGAGGATAGCCAAGGTTCTGGGGACAGAAGATTTATATGACTATATTGACAAATACAACATTGAATTAGATCCACGTTTCAATGATATCTTGGGCAGGTGAGTCATTAAACAAAATCTATGCATCTGTGCCTTAATCAAAGGCACACTTTGTAAATTGACACTTTGGATCCTCAAAAAATAGTTGCAGCCCTGGCTGGTGTGGCTCAGTTGGTTTGGCATCATCCAGTGCACTGAAAGGTTGCAGGTTGATTCCCAGTGGGGAGCTTGCAGAAGGCAGCTTATCGATGTTTTGCTCTTACATTGGTGTTTCTCTCTATCCTTCTCCCTTCCTCTCTCTCTAAAAGTCAATAAAAATATATATTTTTAAAAGCTATTTTAAAAAATAGTTACATTCTCTTTGCCAACACTGCTGAACATCAGTGGTCCAGTGCTACAGGATGCTGCTTTTGGCAGTCCTGTGATGAAAGCACTGGATTGAAGGGCCATTTTCCCAGATTCACTGAGTCTGCGTGTAGAGATTATAGTCAGAGGATTCCTGTAAAATGAATGAAATGTATATTCTAGTAGAAGGATTACAATTGAGTCAAATATCAGAATCTCTTGATTTAGCTTGCTTTTCCAAATGACAAAACCCTCTCAGAGAAAGAAATAGAAATAGAAAATGTGTGCTTCAAGGCTGATGTGGCTAGATACAATACTAATTCTTTCACCACTTACCAGGAGGTGGACTTTCCTGATGCAAAGGCTTTGCTGGCCAAGTGGCAGAGTTGTCAGGAATGTGTGAGGGGATCAGAAAGAGGCCTGGTTAGCCCAGCCTCCTGACCCTTCTTGCTGTGCAGAAGTATTGAGTGCTGTAAAGTAGCCTGAATTATGTTTTTTAAAATTGCGAGGACCCAGATTTTTCTTTTGTGCAACACTGCTTTTTTCAGTCTCTCCAATTAACTTGGTTGTCTCCCCAGTGACAGAGTGCTATAAAACTGCTCTCTTGAGTTTTGATTTCTTTTTGCAAGTGGCTGGGCTCCTAGCCACTAAGGAAAATTTAGAAGTGAAATGTTGGGCTTCTCTGCTCCTTGGTTCATTTCTCATTACCCCTTTGGCTCTGCAGACACTCCCGTAAGCGATGGGAACGCTTTGTCCACAGTGAAAACCAGCACCTTGTCAGCCCTGAGGCCTTGGATTTCCTGGACAAGCTGCTGCGATATGACCACCAGTCACGGCTCACTGCAAGAGAAGCCATGGAACACCCCTATTTCTGTGAGTCCAACTGTCCAGTCCGCAGAGCCTGTGCAGGCCTGCTCAGCAGGCTGTACAAGGCGAGGGAGAATATATCCTGTGAAGAAAGCTCTAGACCCACAGTCCCATCAGAAGAGAGTTGGAATCCTAGCTCTGCTTAGCTTGTGGTAAAGTTATTTTACCCACAGTGAGCCTCAGTTTCAAGTGGGGACAGTGATGGCAACTGTCTTACAGAATTGTTGGAAGGATTCCAACTAACAGAGTACCTAATATATGATTGCTCCTAAGTAAACTGCTTTCCTTACTTTGTGGGTGGCAGTTCTCAGTGGCTAGCTAGTCTGGAATGGTTGGATTCTAGTGAGTAGCCCTATATCTGTCCTGTTTCTGGTTATCGTTTATTGGAGAGAGCCAAGGAAGCTTGAAAATCTTAACTGTATGAACACCTTGACTTAGGTTTGTGAGTATAGTAAACTGTGCTGTCCTGGGTGAAAATGTCACTTAGACCCACCCCATCCCCACTGTGATGTTAGCTTCAACATTGGATTGTCCCTTGGAGTGTTGGGGTGGTTTTGTAGTGCATCAATTATACTGTTGCCCAGTCCCCTGTACCTGAAGCAGGCTGACCTGAAGTCTGTGGTGATAGCACTAATTTTCACAACCTCTAGCTTTGGCCTACTTGGCACCTTGCTTAACCAGTTGAGTTGTGACTGCAATAAGATCAGTTCGCTTTGATAATATATCACTCTCAAGTCCAGGTTAGATTATATTGCCTCATTAAACCCTAACGGGATCAGTTTTGTTTTAAATTAGTTCTACCGTGGGTAATTACCTCATCTTTCTACCATTTAGTTGAAGAGGTTGCCTTTACTAGTTCGACAGGAAAAATAATTCTATTTCCTATTACTCGTCTAATTTCAAGGTGAAGATAAGGCAGTTGCCACCTTAAGTTCTGAGAATAATATGGAATATAAATAAAATTCAAAGGATGAGGGTGACTGCTTTAATACCATTAGTTTAATTGTTAAGCATAACAGAAGCTAACATTTTTGTCTTTTTCTAGACACTGTTGTGAAGGATCAGGCTCGAATGGGCTCATCTAACATGCCAGGAGGCAGTACGCCTGTTAGCAGCGCCAATATGATGTCAGGTCAGTTCATTGGTGAATTTCTTTTTTTTAAAAAGAAATTTATTCCCTGTTTGTGTGTTTGTGGCCTGATATGGTCCTATTTGTGACCTGATTTCTTGTGGGCCGCCTCTTCTCTGTAATGATTACCTTATTGATATACTAACCTGTGCAGCTCTTTCCACTAGGCTTCAGTATGTTTTTGACATCTGATATACTTCATTGACACTACCCTGAGTAGGCTATCAACGGGCTCTTCTAGGCCAGAAACCTCAAAATTTCTCACAGAGGGACATGAATGTCCCAACAAGCCATGAAGAATAAAAAGTGATCCTTTTATCTCACAGTTCAGAGTGACAGTAGTTGACATGGTCCTCAGAAACAAGATTAAGAAATTGGGGAGAGTAGAAGTGGGGCTTGTACATGGGGCATATATGCATAAAAGGATGGTTCTTTGATTTTTTTTCCCCAGAGCAACTACAATGTACCTAGTAAATTGTAAATATTTATATGAAATTATTTTTCATTATTATTGAGTCACTATGATTTAGAGCAAATTTTTGTACGGGGTACACAATGATTCAAAAGAAATTATAGGCCCATATTGTAAGAATTACACACGTAGGCAGCATCCACATGGGTATACTTGTGGTAGTGAGGGCATTTACTCAGACACCCTCAAAGACACCCTGTTACTATCTGCCTTCTAGAATTTACCCCCTGGGTATCTTGCCTATGTGCAAAATAATGTATATCCACAGTTATTTGTTGTAGCCTTATTTGTAATAGCAAGACATTGAAAACAGCTCTCAGTAGAGAACTGGTTAAATGAATTATGGGACATCCACTCAGTGGAATGCTATAGGGCCAGAAAAAAGAATGAGTATTTTGTGTTCTTTTCTAACTCCAACTCCAGGATAATGTGAAAAGAAATTCGCAAGCTGTAGCACCATGTCCAAGACCAGGAGTGGGCAAAAGTATATAATCACATTCCTATATTTGTTATAAAATTGTATTGATGTATAGGTATAAAATATTTCTAGAAGGATACACTCCAGAAATGGTGCCATAAGTTGACCAGCAACAGGGATAGGGAGATTTATTCACTGTGTACTCTTTTGAACCTTTTGTATTTTGAGTCCTGTAAATATATTGCCTATTCAAAAAATACAACATTTTGAAAATTGAAATAACTGGCTGATTGAGGGCAACTAACAGAAAATTCTGGTCATTAGATTGGTGGAAGAAACCAAATGGAAATAAATTTTCAAATACTGTTTCAGCTGAGAGATGGGAAGTGCTCCTTTCCCCACTAACAATGAATTTAAGTAATTATGAAATTTTAGCTGGCAGTGTGATGTAAGCACATGAGTTTTGACTCTAGCTTTATGCTGTTCAATATAGTAGTGACTAGCCACTTGTAGCTATTTAATCAAAATTTAATCAATGTTAACAATCAGTTTCTTAGTTGCACTAGCCACATTTCAAGTGTTCAGTAGCTACATATGGCTAGTGACCACCCCGTTAGCACAGATTACAGAGCAGAGAATTTGCTTGCACAGTGCCATCCTAGGTAGTAGGCCTGGGTTGGAATCTAAGCATAGTTGCCAATTTGACTAGCGGTTTATCTTTGGTCAAACTGCTTAAACTCTCCAAGCATGGATTTCTTTACTTACCTCCTAAATTATTTAGAACTTGCCATTATAATTTGGGGATTTAATTTGTAATTAATTTGTAAAAATCTGGCTAAGGAGATACCTTCAGTAAAAAGAATCACTGTTGTGTCACTTTTGAGGTAAGGGGCTATGGAAAAACGGTAACTAAGATTTTCATGGTTAGTGTCTCTGGCTCACTGTCAGCTCTTTTCTTTCAGGGATTTCTTCAGTGCCAACCCCTTCACCCCTCGGACCTCTGGCAGGCTCACCAGTGATTGCTGCTGCCAACCCCCTCGGGATGCCTGTTCCGGCTGCCACTGGGGCTCAGCAGTAATGGCCCCTTCTGTCTTCTGATGCCTGAGCAGAGGTGGGGGAGTCCACTCTCCTTGATGCAGCTTGCGCCTGGTGGGAGGGGTGAAATACTTAAGAAGCACCGTGTCTGAACCGTTGCTTGTGGATTTATAGTAGTTCAGTCATAAAAAGAAAAAAAATTATAATAGGCTGATTTTCTTTTTTTCTTCTTTTTTTTTTTAACTCGAACTTTTCATAACTCAGGGGATTCCCTGAAAAATTACCTGCAAGTGGAATATTTCACGGACAGATTTTTTTTCTCCCCTTCCAAATTCAGTTCATTACTAAAGAACAAAGATAAACCAGCCTCAATTCCTGCTGCCGCATCTGGATGGAGTTTCTTCCCATGCCCGCCATTGCTCACCCACCATCCCATACTCGTGGTGGGGGGCGGTTTGTAGCTCATGCTCTTTTCCAGAGATTACAAAAATGTAGCTTTTTCAAGAAAGGTGGGAGGGAAGGAGGGAGGACTCAACCTATAAAAGCAGTGTCCTGCTAGTCAGTTATATCACTTTACTCCAGAAGTGCTTCAGTGGGGTTATCTTGGTGAATCTAGTGGGACTATGTCTTAATAGTTACATTGAGATGCTGAAAAATCTATCCAAAGTGCTGACAGGTCCTGAAAACTTCTGTTCAGTCTGAATCATGTCATATTGTCCTGACCCTAAATCCAACTCACTTTAAAAGTTTGGTTTCAGTTTAGTTTAAAACTTCAATAATCTTTCCTTCCAGACTCCTTACCTTGGTCCTCTCCCCTTTCATCTCCTAACATACTCTATAGCTGGTAGGAGGGGGAAGGCAAAATCTTTTTCAATTGTCTTTGACTTGGCCATTTTGAATTCAGTTAGTTACTGGGTATAATTTATTGCTTTTTACAAAAGAAAAAAAACATTGTCAATATAGGTTTCATGCTAGCAACGCTTCAAGAGCTAACGGAAGATGTGGCCACACTGTTTGATTTTAAGCTTTCTACCTTCTTTTCCTCCTACCTTCCCGTTTCCTCACATGCCATACAGTGAGAAGACCTGCCCCTCACTCTTGTAAATGTAACTGAGAGGTAGGAGCAGAGCCACTGTCTCCAGTGAAACTGAAATGGTAGACCTGTAATTGTGGGAAAACTATAAACTCTCTTGTTACAGCCCTGCCACCCCTTGCTGTGTGTATATATATAATACTTTGTCCTTCATATGTGAAAGATCCAGTGTTGGAATTCTTTGGTGTAAATAAACGTTTGGTTTTATTTATCAAGGTTAGATTTAAGTTCCCTGTGTAAAGGTCTTGCTGGGTGGGTGTCTCACGTTCACATCTGAGGGGCCTGCAGCCCTGTACCATGGAGGCTTCTTAAGGCCTTCATTTTTTTACACCCCTCATTGGATCCATGGTACTGGGCAGGGCAGAGAGGCCTTAAAAAAGCACCACAAGCCAAAGCGTCTCTGGGGATTAAGGATCCTTTGCCATAAAACTCATTTTGTGTCTCAGCAGTGCAGGGATTGGGGATGGAAAAATCGCCAGTTTTTGTGTGTTTGTGTGTAAAGTGGATTTTCCACTGTAATCCAACCACCTAAGTTTATCAGGTGCTTCACTGAGGAAGCCTAGTTTTTTAAGCACAATAGCAAAACCATCAGCTCTGTATTGTCTCCTGTTATTTCATTACAGTAGCTGCTTGTGGGGACTAGGAAAAATTCTTCCAACATATTTTAAGGCCTGAAGTCTTAGCTTCTTATTCTCCTACCTTTATAGAGTCATAAGCCTTTCTCATCTGGGCGCCTTAGATAAATGTAATAATTTGAGGAGTTTAATTTAATGAACTTATCTAACTTTGTAACCCATCTTGGCTCTAGAAACCTTATCAAGGTGATGGCTTTAGTAAGTATAATGGTGAGCTTTAGAGAAAGCTAAAGCCTCCTTTTATAATGCTTCTCAACCATAGAGAAAACATTCTGTGTGGCAGGGTGGTTTTCTTTCTTGTGGCCACTTAACAGTGGGTATTTATTGTTCTTGACCCTTTTATGCCCTAGAATGCTGTGGGGGTTACCATTTTGAATTTGTGCAGAAGCTAAAAGCACCGGATGTGCCAGAGATGCAATTTGTGATTACATTTGCACTGGATTGTGATTTGAACAGGACACTTATGACTAATAAATTCTTTCTTTTTAGATGGGGAGGAGGGTTGTAAATCAAGATTTCACATCCTACCCTTGTAGCTCAGAGAATCTAGGTGTAGCAGAGGCTGATGTGGGGAGCTGCAGACAGCTGAACCTCCTACCATGCATCAGACCTTGCGAGAAACTGAAGGTGAATGCAGAGGACTCTGAAATGCCACCCAAGAGCCTTTTAAAATAAATAGACGTTTTTAAAATGCTATTTAAGGAGTCACTGCAAAAGCATGAAAAGAAGACCCAATTAGGTGGGTGGGGGGAATGATTTACAGAGTAATAATTTCTTTATTGTAAATTACCTCATCTGTATACCTTATATTGGGACACTTTATTTCTCAGCACTCCCTGTGTCTGCCTTGATCAGATAGCAGGAAATGGAATGCCAATATAAGACAGTTATATTGGCAGTTACTCTGAAAGGTTTTTTTAGTATTTTTTAACTTTGTTTGAAGTGGGCTTCCCCCCCCCCTTTTTTTAAGTTTGAAGTCAGAAGTGCCCCCTCTCCCCTTGATTTATTGGTTGTAATTGTATTGTAATTGGTATAACTAAAACATAACTGTGCTGGGAAGAAGTTGTGCCATGAAGGTCTTTAATTTTTTTTTTTTTTTTTAAATAAAAACATTTAAACATGAAATGTCCCTGCAGCCTGAGCAGTATGCTTCTACCGACACCGTGTGATAGATGGCTTAGTTCTCACGTCCTTTATTTAAATTTAATATTGAGTTGATAGAGATGTGAAGTGGGATGGCTTAAGATTGGTCGAGGAGCACTGAAGTCTGGGAGTTTTCGACATTGAGATACAGTGAAAGAGAGCATGATGTTGCTTAAACAGGACTGGTTTCATTCCTGCCCATGTCATATGCTTGGCTACTTGGCAAGTTACTTAACTTCTGAATTGGTTTCATCATCTATAAAATGGGGCCATTGCTTCTTTGGGAATGAATCAGTGTAAATGTCAAGTGTTTGGTACCTGTTAGGCCCTTGATAAACTTAATTTCCTTGGCCCCCTGGTATGGAGGATTAGTCCTTGGTCCTGACGTTGCTAGTAATTCCGCGATACAATCTCCTCTGGACCTCTGTGTGTGCAATCGGGGAGACTAGATGAGTTGTCTTCTGAGTTTTCAGCTAAGGCATTGATTTTAGAAAGTTTGATTCTTAAATGAAGAGGGATGTCCATGGAGACCTCTTGTTCATAGCAGAAAAGACCAGTGTTCAATGAATGCAGTAAGCCCTGTGGAAGGTCAGCCTTGGAGATACCCCCAGCCCTGGAGGCAACTTGGCAAAGTCTCAGTGCCTGGAATGAGAGGGTGCTGGTGAGCTTATGGGAACATACTTGGCAGCTTATATTGAAACTATCAAGAGGGCTAGTAAAAGAGGTGAAACTGAGTTTACTTGCTTATCAATGCCAAATGAGTAAATTCTACGAAAATATATACTTGAATTGTCTTATTCCTTCTCATTTAATTACAGTTTTTAAAAGTTAGATTCAGGCCCAGCCAGTGTGACTCAGTGGTTGAGTGTGGACCCATGAACATGGAGGTCACTGTTCGATTCCCAGTCAAGTCACATGCCCGGCCTGTGGGCTCAATCCCCAGTGGAGGGCGTGCAGGAGGCAGCTGACTGATGATTCTCTCTCATCATTGATGTTTCTATTGTTCTCTGCCTCTCCCTTCCTCTCTCTGAAATCAATTAAAAATATATTTTTCTTAAAAAAAATTAGATTCAGGAAATGCTGTTATCCTAAATTCTTAGTTTCCTTTATTTTTTATTTTTAAAATATCTTTATTGATTTCAGAGAGAGGAAAGGAGAGGGAGAGAGAGATAGAAACACCAATGATCAGAGAGTCATTGATCGGCTGCCTCCTGCACGCCCCCCACTGGGGATCGAGCCTGCCACCTGAGCATGTGCCCTGACCAGGAATCGAACCCTGATCGCCTGGATCCTAGGTTGATGCTCAACCACTGAGCCACGCCCAGCCAGGTCTTAGTTTCCTTTAAATCTTCACTGCATACTATCTTATGGCATCTACATGTTATAAATATTGGGAGTTGAAAAGTAAAAGGAACCACTTTGTAATATCTTGTATCTGAAATGCCTAACATGAACTTTAATCTCTTAACATTTATTCCCATTTTGTACATGAGAAACATAGGGAGATTAAATTGTTAGAGCGGACCTGATAGAAACAGGAATATATTTTGTAAAATTAGATTTTCAAGGTGTGGCTAATTATTATAGCCCTAAAGTAGTAGAGAAAATTGGAGATAGGTTGACATATTTGGGAATGTTAATTTCCTTTTAGTCTTTAAATTTTTTTTGTTTCACCTGTTGTCAAGTATGGTTATAATTAAAACTGACTGAGCATCTCTTGAAAAATCTAGTTTTGTCATCACTTCCTAAAGATTCCCACCAGCAGATTCTCTCCTAAGATTAGAATAGGGTTTGAGTAGTTTAATCATTAGTTTTTGCCTGCCTCCCTCCTGGTAATTCCTCCTCCCTTGTGCCTCAGCTTTAAGGACTCCGACTGTTTGTTGGTGACATGCATGCTAGAGAGGCTGTCTTCCTAGAGCCTTTTCCTTCTTGAGGAAAAAATTAGCCAAAAGGCTTTGAAGTAAAGTCTCCACTTCCTTCCTCAAAATGAGTCTGAAAGCCTTGATGTCAGCTGATGCTCCACCCTATCTAAAGTGTCTCCTTGCCCAGCTGGCCGTGGCTCAGCAGTTGAGCATCAACCTAGGATCCAGGAGATCACGGTTCAATTCCCGGTCAGGGCACATGCCCGGGTTGTGGGCTACATCCCCAGCTGGGGGCGTGCATGAGGCAGCTGATCAATGACTCTCATCATTGGTGTTTCAACTCTCTCTCACTCTCCCTTCTCTCTGAAGTCAATAAAGATATATTTAAAAATAATAAATGTCTCCCTGCTTCGCCCACTGCCTTCACTACCACTATCCTATTGCCCTTTTTTCTTAACACCTAACTTTTTTTTTTAAACCTCACCCTAGGATATTTTTTTCCATTGCTTTTTAGAGAGTGAAGGAGGTGGGGGTATGGATGTGAGAGGGAGACATTAATTGGTTGCCTCCCACACAAGGCTCTACCAGGGTCTGGGTTTTAACCTGCAACCCAGGTATGTGCCCAAGACCCTTTGGTTGGTGCATGGACCTGCGTTCTAACCACTGGGAAACACCTGAACTTTTATGGTATTATTTTGTTGATTTATTTATTGTCTCCCCACCTGCATATAAACTCACTGATTACCTTGTATATCTTACTAATCTGTGCGTCATTATAAAAACCTTTTTTTTTTTTAAGTGGGCCAGTATCCCTCAGGACTGAAGAGGACTGAATGGAGTAGCACAAGGACAATGCTTAGCACCACACCAGACTCATAATAGATGCTCAATAAATGGTAATTTCATCATCTATTCCCACTTCCACCTTACCCCTCCCCACTACACAGTAAGTTAATAGATGTACTGTTGCATAAAGAGCATCTCAAGATCGGTAGAAACTTGTCCTTAGGCTTACAACTGTAATTATAAGCCACAAGCCCCAGACTGAATTAACATGATAAGAAAATGTTTGTTTAATGAGTCCTTGGTGAAATTATAAGTGACTGAAGGCTAAACAGTGATCCTCACCCGATAATGTGCAGAAAAAGATGCCACATCTATAGGAATGCTGTACACTTGTGGCATTTATTTTAACAATTTTACATAGATGGACATAAAGTATCCTACTCTAGAAGGAGGGAAGTGCATGCATTAAATATGACAGGTTTTCAACAGATGCAGGTCAAGTTTCTAATTTGCATTGCCTTGTTCCCACCCTTCAAGATTTATCTCTTAAGATTTTATTACTCTGTCTCTGAGTTTTTCATTTCTCTACTAAAAGCCAAATATTTTTGCACTGTAGCAAATTACTATCTGGATTTGCCTCTCTCTGGTCATACCAGGGATTCTTACTGGCCTTAATGTAAGCAGCTCTCCCACCAGGTACCTCCAGATGGGAGTTTATGGGATGGCCAGTCTGTTTATTGGAGAAGTTCCTAAAGGGATTGGGTATTTCTGAGTCTGCTTCATTCTTGCATCACCTGCTTTGGCAGCGTTTTCTTGGCTCCTCTAAAAAGAAAAGGCAACGGCAGCCGGTAAGTGGTTTCCTGATCCCACCCTGGGGGTCAGAGTCAAATATTTGTAGACTTATCTCGAAAGACGGCACCTTGCTTCTGTGTATTGAGTAGTTCTGTGAAGAAGTCCAAATGGCCACAGCTCTCCACATCTGATGTGGACCTCGTTCTGTTCCCCTTCACCCACTCAGCTTCGTCCTCTGAACCCAGGGTTCCTTATGCACCCACCTTTCTGACTAGAGTTCATTTGTTTATGTAACATGCCCTTCAGCAAACATTTGTTGGTGTCCATGAGCCTAGCCCTGTGCTAATCACTGGAGATTGAGAGAGATGAGGTGCAAGCCCATGGGGAAATGTGTTCTCTTCAAATACAAAAGCAGGAAATGAAACTGCATTTGGAATCATTTCAACTGTAAAAAAATTAAGTTCTCCAGGGAAAAAAATCAGGTTGCCCAGTCAGAATGGTAGACAGCTAACTACTGCACCAAATACATGAGGATGCTGACTAAAATGATAATTTACTTTAGCCAATTTCAAGGAAAGAAATGGAAATTCCTAGGTGGCAGAAAGGAAGACAGAATTCATCCTGAAGGTAAGTGGGTATTGAAGTCACTGTGGCCCCCAAACACCAGGCTTGGATACAGATGGGCTTTAGGGCTAGTGTTAGAATGCCCCTAGGGAGGTAGGACGTAACCTCAGGGCCTTTCAAGGTAGAAAGTGAAATAATCCCCAGGCACTTGAAAAGGCTGCTTCTAGAAAAAAAGATTGTAAGAAAACAGTATTAACTGTAGTTGCCTCTGGGGGTTGAGGTTAAGATAGATGTCACAGAAAAACAGTAGGAAGAAAGGAGTCCTGAGCTCTTAGGCAAAG